TTCCTCCTTCGGACCCCTTATCCGCTGCGAGCCTCCACGGATCGCGAGATGAGGTTGCCGAGACAGGCGTTTCCATGGCCCCTTGGGATATGCGTGGGGCATGCGTGCAAAGCGGGGGGGCTCGTTGGGCCAGAAGGTTATGTTGCCCCATGATCTGGGCAACCGGGCGCAGACCCGACGGTGCTCGACCTGTCATTGAGAAAGCAGAACATGCTTATTGTGCCATTCTTGCGCCCATGGCGTCGAGTCAATTGTCAGAATTTCCGACGAAAGACGCCTGCGAGAAGGCCCTCGCCCGCGTGGCTTCGGCGACTGCGCCGCCTGGGGAAACGGCCGGCAGCTCGCCCAGCAGGGCGCGGCCAGTCGCGGGCAGCCCAGCTGCCCGCGGAGAATGCGACGACGGCGACGAGTTCGTGGAACACCCCGCCCCACCGCCGCCCCCATCGGCGCCAGATGAGAGAGGCGAGGCCGCAGACGATCACGCCCCAGAACCCGCCCGATGACGAGGGCCAGGGGGGGCCGCGACCGCCCGAGGAGCCCGCGGCGGCAGATGGGCTTATCATCGACGAGATATCCAAGATAATAGAGGGAAGATTGGCCTCTGTTATGTAGAGTGCCTGTTGGGGAGACAGTCGCATCTCTCGCGCGGGCGCCGATGTCCTGGCGGGGCTCAGAGAGCTGAAGAATTTCTGGCCCGAACATTCAATTCAGAACAGGGGCAACTTCGAGTACTTTGAGGGCAACCAATTTGCGCGTGGATGGTCTCCTGAAGCGCCATCCCAAAAGCTACCGTTGACGGGTGGGCGCCAGGCGCGCGCTGCGTGCGTAGTCCTGCGCTGCGACCCTAAATGCGAACATGTCACTCGCATGCAAGTTGAAGATGCTCGACGCGGCATTCAGCTCCTGAAGAAGATCCTCGGATCCACCAATTCTGGGTTGCATCCCTGCAGATGGTTCCGCCTGGCCAAGGGGCCCAGCGGAGAACGCAGCGCGTTGATTCAAATTTACAAAGCATAGAAGTGAAAGGTTCTTTGCCATTGAGGATAAAGGGCCGCGTCTCGAACTGCTGGGGTGCATCGGCATTGGGGCGGCAGGGGCTGCTCGCGACGCGGGCAACGTCTCTGTCGCGGGAGAATCTAAATCTAGGCCAGATGTCGGCCAATATCATTTGCAAACATTCGACCTTCGCCAGGACTCGACGCCGAATATGACGACGAGAACATTTGGCGGCAACTAACATGGCGTGGGGGTGCGATCCTTCGAGGCGGTGTCGATCCAGGCTCAGCTTGCGACGATTGCCGACCCTGGGCATCGCCTCCCTCAACGCGGGCTTGCCTGGCCACGAGCCAGGCGGCCGCTGCCCAACGGCGCAGCGTGCCCAGGATGCCATCGCGGCCACCGACGCCCAGTGTTCGGGTGCATCGAGAAAAGGGGGGGATGGACCTTCAGTTTGGTTACGACCCGTTTACAGACACGGGTCAAGCAGTTGATTGGAGAATGTCAGGGACCGGCTCATTTGGTCTGTTTTCTGACCATCATCAATGTACGTTCGATGCGGCAGTAGCTCTCTCGGTTACGAGCTCAGGGGCAGCTGCGAACCCGGAAACTCAGAAGGCGCTTCGAGCTGGCTCTGGTCCATCGGAACGTGGGGCGAAAGCAAAGTTCAGGAGTGCCATGGCGTTGTTAAGAGCCTGAACTGAATGGCGGATTTGCACCTGTCGGTCGATTCTTTGGCAATTTCACGGGGAAGAATTCGCAGTTGCCAGAAGGGCGCAATGACATAACATCTGAGGGAAGAGTTGTATTTGACCTTTCTGGTGTACGCGTTTGGGAAGATAACCGAAACAAAAAACAATATAGTTCGGCACGCCGGGCACCCCTTTGATAAATCAAAAGGGCGCGGCGGATCGAATGGACTTCGGCCCATCCCGCCACCGTGTTTGGGTTGTGGGTCACAGGCCTGAAGCATGTTCGTTGGGATATGTTGGAAGGCCTTTCGGGGGCCTCGTGGAAGCAGTTTTGAAGCCTTTGGGGGACCGTGCGGTGCCCTTTTGGTGGGTCTTGGGGGCCTCCTGGGGGCTTTGGGCATCTTGAGGCTTGTTGTGGGCATCGTGGGATGGAATCCGTTCGGGCTCCCACTCTTGGGCCCCTCGTGGGGCCGTCTTGGAGCTCTCGTGGGCCGTTTTCAGCGGCTATTGGGCCGTCTTGGGGCCCGCTTGGGCCGCCTTGGGGCCGTCTTGGGGGTCTCTTGGGGCGGTTTTGGGGGCCTCTCGGGCCGTCTTGGAGCGTCGGAATCTCGAAAAGTTGAGAATCCCCAAGTCACAATCCAAGCGAAGGTCCCAACCATATGCAGTTGTGGGCAACCGCATTTGTGACTACCGTTTTTGGTGGAGCCCTGTATGCGGCGACGAAACATGTAAGGGGCGTGCCGAAGCGAGTGCGAGGCCGTCAATGTGGAGCCCCATATGGGGCCACGTAACGTGTGAGGGGTGTGCCGAATCGGGTGCGGGGCCGCCATGCGGACTTCGCCGCTGGGGTCTTCGGTGGAGCCCCCTATGGGGCCACGAAAACTGCGAGGGGTGTGCCGAATCGGTGGGGCCCCTTGTGGAGCCACGAAACGTGTGAGGGGTGTGCCGGATCGGGTGCGGGGCCGCCATGCGGACCCTGCCGCGGGGGCGTTTGATGGAGCTTCCTATGGGGCCACGATCCTCGTGAGGGGCGTTCCGAAATTGGCGGGGGGACGCATGCGGACCGTGCCGTTGGGGCCTTCGGTGGAGCTCCTTACAGGGGCACAATCCTCTTAAGGGGTGTGCCGAATTGGGTGCGGGGCCGCCATGCGGACCCTGCCGCTTTGGCCTTCGGTGGAGCCTCCTATGGGGCCACGAAGCGTGTGAGGGGTATGCCAACATGGACATGCGGAGGGCAGAGGCAGGGATGGGAGGAAGGAGGAGGAGGAGGAGGAGGAGGAGGAGGAGGAGGAGGAGGAGGAGGAGGACGAGGAGGAGGAGGAGAGGAGGGGTTCAGAACGCGGGGCGCTGTCTCTTCAAAACGAGGGCCCAACACTACAGGATGGTTGGGAATTGCAGCACCTGAAGAATATCAATGATTCTGGCCTCTCGGGGCTCTTTGGGGCTCTTTTGGGGCGCCTCCAAGGCCCTTTAGGCCATCTTGGAGGCCATCTTGAACCAATCGTTTGGCGATTCGGGGCCCTCTTGGACCGTCTTGCGGGCCTCTTGGGACCCTCTTGGCCCGTCGTGGGACCCTTTTGGGCCCGAGCAAGTCACGCGGGAAGGCGCAGGGAGCCCCGGGAGGCACGACAAGTTTTAAGAGCTTCAGAATTTGGGGTTTGGGCCCCTGGAATCATCCTCAGGATTGAAGTTTGAGGCTCAGGGGTTGAGCAAGGGATCTGGGAACACTCCGCTTCGTGCCAAATGGGCACGGAGGCGGATCATCGGGCCGGGGGCCCGACAGGTTGCCTGGAACATTTCGCAGCAATGGAGGCCAGCAGGCTGGACAGCTCCGCAGCCGCACAAGCTCGAGTAAGGCTCTGGCGTGATCCCTCCCCCGAAGATCCATCAATCGGCTTGTCTCCGTCCATCCATAAGCCGATATGTCGAGCTTTTGGTGGGTCTCCGTCCGAGAACCGTTCACGAGGTGGAGGACATATGCCGTCAAATAGATGTTCGTGATTGCATTGAGAGCCACCAGGACGCAACAGCTAAATGGTTCCTATAATGCCAGGGAAGAAAAAACAACAGGGCCCACCTTGCTTTTTCATAGTAGGTTGGCACGGCGTGCAGAAGGACCCAGGAAACCATGGGTTGACGCCGAGAAGACATTCACATCATGAGCGTGAAGGATGGGCGCCGAGGTTTCGCCGCGCGTCCCGCTTTGGGATGGCCTCCATGCCGATGGGCACGTCTCTCTGCCTGTGCCCCGTGCGATTCAAATCACCCGTTTGGCCTCGCTGGCAGTTCTGGATGAGATACCTCTCGTCCGCCGAGCGCGTTTCTGCGTGCGGTACTCTTTGTGCGCAGCCCTGCGGGCAGCGCTGTCGCGCAGCCTCGGACTGCACCAGTGCCATGGGCATCAAGTCAAGACGCTGAAACAACGACTCTACTGCGCGGGGAACTTTTGCGCGCGCCGCTGCCGCGGAGCTAATGCGCCATGCTCCATGGCCCTCCTCCAGCAGAGTACGAGTCAAAGACTTCAGTCACGGTGCTACCATTGTGTCCTCGTCCCTCACCCAATCGATTGTGATGAGGATGAGGATGACTATGTTGATGGGTGATGGGTGATTTTATAATATGGTGGATGATGATGTTGCAGCTGATGATGCTGATTATGATGATGGTGATGGTGATGATGATGGTGAGTTTGATGTTGATGACGGTGATGGTGATTTCGATGCTGATGTTGCTGGTGCTGATGGTGAGGATGAGGATGCGCGTAAGGATGAGGATGGGACTCGGGATGACGATGGGGATGGGGATGCTGATGGTTATGATGATGATGCTGCTGATGTTGATTTCGACGACGATGATGTTGATGACGGTGATGATGCTGCTGCTGATGTTGATGCTGATGCTGATGATGCTGATGATGGTGGTGATGATGGTGATGGTGGTGAGATGATGATGGCGGTGGTGGTAGCGAATATGATGCTGATGATGATTGTGGTGATGGTGATGGTAATGGTGATGGTGGTGGTGATGGTGATGGTGATGGTGATGGTGGTGAGATGCTGATGGTGATGATGTTGATAATGGTGATGATGATGAAGATGAAGGTGATGATAAGGAGGAGGGGGAAGAGGAGGTGGATGGGGGGTCGACGCGGGAGATGTGGAGGAGGTGGGGGAGGGCATGAACGAGGGCGGGCAGTCTTGGGAGGAGAGGCCAGCTGAGGAAGGGCGAGGGAGGAAAGTCAGAGAGAGCGGGTAGAGGTCAGGGAGCACGGACAACAGTTTTTCATAGTATTTCTTGTTCGCTCGCCCGCAGGTTCATCCTACAGAGGAGACGTGTCCGGGAACAAGATGCACGGGAAGGCGTGCCTGTCAATTCTGCGCCGCCAATCTTTTACATCGACCTGTCTGTTCGCCGAGCATTGTGAGCATTTGTGGAGATAGGATTGTTTTTTGTTGCCGAGCCGACTCCTCGGCTTTAGCCCAAGTTGAGTCCCAACCAACCTTCACGCTCGCACGCCGCATTTCGTGGGAGGTGGGCATCTGCGGGCTCCTCGCTAGCATCGCATGCGTAAGATCGACAGGCCCGTATCAAGTTTCGGTGTGTGCGATGGGTGGGTTTTTGAGGAGCGATCACCCAGGCGAAAATCGCTGCAAGAGAATAACTCGGGTCGGCCACCGTCCCAAACTATCCGGCCAGGGCCTGTCTTACGTATTCTCGTGCACCGGGTAACCAACCTTCTGCTCGGCCTTGATGTGCAGCATTGTCGAAGACCAAGTTGGCCGGCTCCCCGATGGCCAGCAGTGCCTGCTTTCCGCATGGTGAAATATCGCACCATGTAACGGGTTTTTGCTGAAGAGAGGACGTTTTTGCCATTGGTCGAGGCGTCGTACGGCGATCATGGCGTTCAGGCGGGTGAGTTTTCGGCCTCAGCTTCCGACCACACATTTTGTGAGAGAGTGGCAGCGTTTACATGCTGGCTCTCGGCGAGGTGCAGGTCCCAGATTGTCAGAGACGAGCCCTGCCGACTCCGAGCCTCTGCCACGCCAAGCCGTGGTGCCGTGGGCAGCCGTTGCCTTTGTCGAGGTACGTTAGGTTCGCGTCGTGTCGATTGGCGGCGACCCCGCCGCCGGCGTTCAGCGTTGAACGCCGCCGACGACCCAGAATCGGTCAGTATTGAACGATCTGACGTTTCGGAAACGGCCGATTGTTAAGGTGAAACGATCCCCGCGGTGTCAGGAACCAACGCCGGGGTCTACACGACACGAACCTGCAGTACTCAGGAGCGACGGGACGGAGGCTGTAAGGGCAGAGGCATTGTGAGCGCACCTTTTGGACTCCCCCTGTGGATCTGAGCTCCCCCCTGGGATCTCCCCAGGAGCTCGCCCCTCCGCAGAAGCGGATCGACTTCGGGCTGTCAGAACCCTCTGGCAGTTTTTCCTAACCATCTTGTGGTGTTGGGCCTTCGTTTTGAAGAGAGAGAGAGAGAGAGAGAGAGAACAAAAAAAAAGAAAGAAAGACAGAGAGAGAAAGAGAGAGAGCGCGCCCCGCGTCACTCCTCCTCCTCCCGCCGCCCCATCCCCCCTCCTCCCCCTCCTTGCTTCTGCTCTTCGCATGTCCATCATTTCGGCACACCCCTCGCACGTTTTCATGGCCCCATAGGGAGCTCCACCGAAGGCGAGGGAGGCAGGGTCCGCATGCGTCCCCCCGCCCATCTCGGCACACCCCTCACGAGGATCGTGGCCCCATAGGGAGCTCCATCGAAGGCCCCAGCGGCAGGGTCCGCATGCGTCCACCCGCCCATCTCGGCACACCCCTCACGAGGATCGTGGCACCATAGCGAGCTCCACCGAAGGCCCCAGCGGCAGGGTCCGCATGCGTCCCCCAGCTCATTTCGGCACACCCCTCACGAGGATCGTGGTCCCATAGGGAGCTCCACCGAAGGCCCCAGCGAAAGGGTCCGCATGCGTCTCCCCGTTCATTCAACACACCCATCACGAGGATCGTGGCCCCATAGGGAGCTCCACCTAAGGCCCAAGCGGCAGGGTCCGCGTGCGTCCCCCCGCCCATCTCGGCACACCCCTCACGAGGATCGTGGCCCCACAGGGAGCTCCACCGAAGCCCCCAGCGGCAGGGTCCGCGTGCGTCCCCCCGCCCCATCTCGGCACACCCCTCACGAGGATCGTTGCCCCATAGCGAGCTCCACCGAAGGCCCCAGCGGCAGGGTCCGCAAGCTCACTTCGGCACACCCCTCACGAGGATCGTGGCCCCCCTTAGGGAGTTCCACCGAAGGCTCCCAGCGGCAGGGTCCGCATGCGTTCCCCCCCCATTTCGGCACACCCCTCATGAGGATCGTGGCCCCAGCGGCAGGGTCCGCATGGGTCCCCCAGCTCATTTCGGCACACCCCTCACGAGGATCGTGGACCCATAGGGAGCTCCGCCTTCGCGGCAGGGTCCGCATGCGTCCCCCCGCCCATTTCGGCACGCCCCTCACGAGGATCTTGGCTCCATAGGGAGCTCCACCTAAGGCCCCAGCGGCAGGGTCCGCATGCGTCCCCCCGCCCATTTCGGCACACCCACCCCTCACGAGGATCGTGGCCCCGTAGGGAGCTTCACCGAGAGCGGTACCCACAACGTGGCACTCACAAGTGCACTGGTTGGGTCCTTCGCCAGGATAATGTTTGGGTTGTTTGTGTAAATGTTGGGCGCCCTTCGTATGGACCGCCTTCGCGGGCAAGGCGGGAGCGTCAGGGGCAACTTTCGGGGGGGATAGGCTCAGGAGGGAATGCATCGACCCCAAATCGCCCACCTCGCACAGGAGCGTGCGGGCTCGCTATCGGGGGCCTATCGCAGATCTATTGGCGATGTGCCGCCAATTCAAACGCATTGCTTCCTCCCCTGAGCTGGTCCCCTGGTGGTTTCGTGCCATAACTCGGGCCTCCGGCAGCCGTTCGGGACGATCCTGGCACCCCCAGAGCGCCTTCTGCGAGGCGCAGCCGCTGGAGAGTACCCCGAGGCTGGAGAGCCGACGAGAACCATCGAAAACGTCCCCACCCCCGAGCTGGTTCCCCTCCAGCGTTGCCCCTCCGAGCGGGCTGGGGCTTTCGTCCCCGTTGGCGGCAGCGGCGGCGGCCGCGCGAGTGCGCGCGCGCGCGCCTGCGCGTGCTCAAGCTACTGCCAGCAGCCGGCGGAGGGTCGCGCCCCGACATGCCGGTATGTGGGACACCAGACAACTTGTACGTCGGCCGCGGGTACGATAGGCCGCCCCTCGTCCCGCGTCCCGCCCCCTCCCTCAGTAGCGTTTCACCGATCTCCGTCCCCATCCCGATCTCCACCATCCCACCACCCGAGTGGGGGATCTGCCCCTCGAAACTCGAAGTGAACAGCCCATAGCATATCCCCATCTACGGGTGGAAATCGGCCAGTGGGACACAGACAACGCCCATGGGGAGAGGGATGGGTCAACGATGCTCACTCGCTCCCCTCCTCTGCCCCCTCGTCCCCGGCCCGTCCCCGCCCCCCCCCGCCCCCTCCGTCGGCAGCGGCCAGTGGGGGGAGATGGCTAGATTTTGTTTGGGGGATATCATGGCGAGGGCCATGACATCTCTTCGGATGTCATGCCCCCCCTCTTCTCGTTCCCAACCAGCCTGTGGTGTTGGGTCCTCGTTTTGAGGAGGCAGCGCCCCGCGTCTCCTATCCTCTCCTTTCCTTCCTCCTTCCTCCCTCCTCCTCCTGCTCCTGCTGCTGCTGCACCGCTGAAGAGGAAAGTCCCGAAGCGTCCTTATCGTGAATTGAATGGGGTCCCCTCACCTCACCTCGCCGCGCCTCCCAGCGCGCAGTCATGTTGCTGCGCGAAGTCGAAGAAGGGGGCGAGGAGGACGAACAGAGCAGCGCCTTTCGGAGGCAGTTCATTGCCTGGCCTCCCATCTGGTAGTTTCCCTATCTGACAGGGCGTCCAGGAAGGCTGCTGCCAAACGTCTAGACAGCTCCGAGGAGTATTATTTTAAATCCGAGGTCCTGTACCTTCCCCCCACCCTACCAACGGCCGCCGTGTGCCCTTGTGGGTGACGGCACCTCCCTTCCCCAGGGCTGCTCCTCAAAATCCTCGGGAACGAATCCATGTTCACGGTCAACAACGTGGTCGGTTGCAGGTGCCTGCACCCAGACACGCACTGATCGATGTCAAACGAACGCACGCTTCTGAGGGTCTTCACCCACACCATCTCCTCCAATCTCCAGCTGGATGCAGCCCTGGGCTCCCAGCTCGGACAAATCGTATGCTCCATGGCACACACGTTCGTGACAATTGCCATAGCGAGGAACCTGACCGTTGTGCGAAGCAGGAGGTTCCCAACATTCACCTGCTTCTGCTCCTGAGCTGTCAGGCCCGTGACTCCCCAGGGGGCCTCCCGAGAACGCAACGCCCTGGGCCCCAGGGCCCCTCCGAGCTCCTGGAACCGCGCAACCGACCAAGTCTCACAGGGAGGGCCTGCCAGCAGGCCCACCACCAGCCCTTGGGCCATGAGCCCCAGCCATCTCTTAATTACATGCTTCTGAGTCAGGTCAGCCCCCTCCCGATCGTTGGCCACATCCACCGGCAGGACCCAACTTGGCTTACAACGGGGGGCGGCCTTGTTGAGCTCCTCCATCCACTGCTGGACGTCCCCCACCCTTATCCTACCCGGAAAGAGGTGAAGGAAGTAGAAGTAGGAGAATTTGTCCCTATCGGGGCCCAGCTTCCACGACGGGGGGTAGGGCAGGTGGGCGGAGGGAGGCGGAGAGGAGGCGGGGGGGCCCTCACCGCTTGCAGCACCACCACAGCCCGTGAGCACCACGGAAGCACCACCACAGCCCGTGAGTACTGTCCCTCATTTCTTTCACACCGCCGTCCTTTGCGTACCTCAATCCACTTCCCTGGGGAGAGGCGCAGGATGAGCATCGTGAGGGGGAGCAGGAGGACGAGCAGGATGAGGGAGAGTCGGATGAGGAAGCGAATTGTGATGTATAGCACAGACAGCCCATGGCTGAGCCGAATTCTGAGAAACAAAAACACAACTAATGCATATGAGGAGGCAGCGAGATGGATGCTCAGGTGGGAGTGGGCGGAACTAGCTCCAAGTATTGGTTTAAGCGGGGCCGTCAGCCTAACAACTCGTTGACCGTGGCACAGGTCGCATGCGATTGCGTTTCATCTCCATGTTGTTAGTCAATTCGCACTCCTCCTTATTTTCCCCCATCCTCCGTCATCATCGTCCTCGTCCTCTTCGTCCGCCTTCTCCTCCTCCTCGTCCTCCCCTTGTCCTCCTCCTTGCCCTTGGCCTACCGATCATTTTAGAAGCATAACAAAAACATGCGACGAAGAGTAACGAACACGATTCGGACAGCCCTGGAGAGTGGAATGCGGATGAAGGGGAGGACGGAAGAAGATAGAAGTGGAAAGCACCCAAGACAAGGCAAGTGATGTGATGACAGGGGGCGAACACAAATGTACATGTATGTGTACACGTACGCACATATTTTTACACAGTTCGGCGTCATTAGGCACACACCTATTTTATACAGGGGTGTATCATTCTATCAGGGAGCTACCGCCCTGCGACCAGGGTCGGGTTGGGGGGTGAGACAGAATATGATGGCAACCTGACTCAATTCGGTTGGGAGTTGCCTCGCCCTTGCCCAGCTTGACTCGCCCGTGCGTACGTCACGCACGACACGCACCGAAACCGAACCCGATTTTTGGGTGGGGGGACTCCGTTTCACTTCGATATCTCCCCCATCTTCCAATGCAGAAATCAGCGTTGATGATTGCGCTTTTACCAACGTAATAGGTATCTTCAGTCTCTGTTTGATCTGACAGTCAAACGCTGAAACTTGCTGGATGATGGCCTCAATCTGGCATGCGTTGTTTGGTTGGCTCGTTTTTCTCCTGAGTGTGTGAAGGGCACAGGGGTTGACATGTCATGGGTTTCCGAAATCCAAGGGTCATGGGGTTAGGTAGTTCACACTGTGTTACGTTGCATCCTGATCCCAGTTGTTCGCCGCATGCGCTCACCCACAGGCATGCATCTGTAATGGATGTGGCTAGTAATTCGAGCGACGGCTATTGGGACGAAGATCGGGAGTGACAGTGATGGCATGAATGGGCTGAGAGATGAGAATAGGACTCGATGTTGGTTGATAATGGTGAGGATGGCAAAAGGGGTCAGAACTGGATGTGCATGGTCATCTGTGCGTCTTCCTGGAACCAGACGAGGGTTGACACCAGGCGACGTGTGACACGTCCATTCTCTAGAGGGGGGGTGCGATGGCCGCCCTGTGATCCCCAGCAAGCCAGGTCTTCCGATGACTTGCGCAAGCTTCTCCAGACTGCGTCCGAGGCCAAGTTCGATTTTGTGGTCATCCCACTGTTCCAGGGCCCACCCTCCGGCGAGAGCTACCCCAGCGATGGTCGGGTTCTTCTGCTCTTGCTTAGGGTTGCTGCTGCGCGCGTCGAAATGCCTTTGAAAGTCTACAATCTTAACGCTTCGCGTATCCCCACAAGCCTACCCAGAAACGGTCGCCAGGCGAGTTGCCTTGATCAGGGAAGCATCTGAGGATGCGAGGTGATGCAGCCATCATGGCGAAGTCTGGGATCAGCCTGAACATATCCAGGAGTAGACCTTCTGAGCTTGCCGTCGGAGTAGGAGGCGGAGGCGGCGGAGGGTAAAGCGGATAAGCAGGAGGTGGAGGGAGGATGTTTTCGGGCTCGCGAATAATACAATCGCTTCTGTGTGTCATGCCCTCTTTGGAACCTTCGATTCCTCTTTGGGCGATCTTGCAGGACACCGAACAACGTTCAACAAGTGGACGGTGCCGACCAGCACAGATACCCTGTGACACGACAAGTCGCCTCCTGGAGCCCTTCCGGGATGGTACGGAAGCGCTCTTGGAAGCATTCGGGGCCTTGTTTTGGCCCGCGTTGGCACCCTGTTGGGGCTCTTGCTGCAAATTGATGCCACGAACCAACGTGGCATCAATGTGCAACAACGTTTGCGTTTGACGGCCGCGCTGTATATTGATTTGTTCACCTTTCATTGAATGCGGTCAACTGCCCACGCGCTGAATGGCGTACGGTTGTTCTCTCGCTCGCTTGTTTGCTGCCCCCATCCCCTTTATGCTCCCCATGGCGTTCTTGCAGCCACTTTAAGGCCTCAGTTGCCCAAAGGTAGCGAAAGTGGCGAGGAGGCACACTTCATTGAACAATCTTCGGATTTCGAAGATCATGGCCCCTCGGCGCTATCCTTGAGGGACTCCGTGGTCACGTGGAGCCATTTTGGTACAGACGTGGATTCTCTGTTCGATGCATCCCCGAAACCATCTTGATACATCTTGGACCATATAGTGCCATCCTGGAGTTCATCGTGTGCTTTCTTAGGCCGTCTTGGAGCCATCTTGGTCAATATTGGACGCTCTGACCACTCGCGCTCCGCCCCTCCCTCCCCCCGGGGCCAGACCTGGGGGGAGGGGGTGAGAAAATGGCAAGCAACCTTACCCGAAGAGGAATAAGGGGGCAGGACGAGGCAACGCGCTAAACCACGTACGCCCAGGGGGTCGGTGGGATTTCTGAAGAGCCTTGGGGAACAGGATGCCGAGGTTCCCCCCTCTGGACTCTGAATGGCTGTGGGGGCCTTGCGAACTCTGCAAATGGATCTGACGCGTCGGGTGACCCTGGGTCTCGAGTGTCAGCTCAAGGGGGATATGTCCGAGCCCATGTTGCACTCAGAAACTGCTGAAGTTGAGACATAGAAATTCGCCCGTAAGTCGCACAAGGCGGCGTTCACGTTGTATCTGGCCGTGTGAGAGATGAGGTTTTCGGTCGTGACAGTGTTTAGACATAAGCCCATGAGGCCATGTCGGCGGACATGTTCCTCCCAACATTGCTTGGAGGTTCTCTTCTCATTGGTATGTCTACATAGGCAGATTTTCATGTCTGGATGTGTTCTGCCACCCCGTTCCAGTCGTCAAGCAGTGGAACCATGTGTTGATTACGTGCTGGTGTTAATGCGTTGGTTGTTCCTACCTCTGTGCTCACTTCCCCTGGCCTCGGCTTCATCTGAGCTGTCGACTTGTCAAAGCTCATCTTATTTTCTGATGTTCTTTGCTGTTAGTCTTTTTATGAACCCACTCTCTGCCAGTACGAGCTGGTCCCGTCCACGTCGTCAGATCTGGCACTAGACAGCAAGGATGCCGTTTTCTCTTCATGTGTGCTTTGCATTACCGCAGTAGTTCTCTTCGTCTGGTAACCATGGTTAAACAGGTCCATATCGTTCCCCTCTTTTGACCTCGGTGGTGACATCTTGACAACCTGCCTCATCTTGGGTGAGAGACGTGGCAGGTCAAGGTCCACTTCCGGTGGACAGGGACATGTGCCGTCCGTCGGCACGCATCTCGCTCTGAGCCACTTCCGTCGTTCACCCGCGTGCTTCCGCCAGCGTGGGTCTATGCGTCATCCATGGCCGTTGCCACGGCGTGATCCAGAGGAACGGGAGCAGGCGATCATTGGCTACGGTACAGTGGGGGCGCGCATCAAAAAACCAACTGATTTCCGTCAGGGTGCCTTGGGTTTCTTCGCTACGCGCGCTGCGCGGTGACTTTCAGCGGCTGTTAAAGAAGCCCCTACGCTCAGGGTGTTCTGGGTTCCCTCTAGATTCTAGTTGCATCTCGGGCGCTGGTTTTCAGGGTCGGATTTCTTGCGAGGGTTTCTTGCGGCCGAGTCCGCACTGTGCTGGCCTGCTCGTCCTGGTTCAAGCTTGTCTCGGCACAGGGTCATTTTCGATCCGAATGATCCGGTTCAGTATCGCTTCCAGCCAGCCCGATCGATTCGACTCGATATTCCGACGATCCGATGTCGCACGATGCTCGTATGGCGCTGTTGTGCGCGCTGGCGCAGCCGATCTGATTCGGTTCCGACCCTGTGCCGGTACAGCACGATCCGCGGCATATTCAGATGATCCGGCCTCCGACTCAACGCTGACCGCTTCTGCTTGCTCGTCGAGGGGGCAAATTTTGCCTCCGCACTCGGCCGGGAGAATGAATATCACTAACACGCCGCCGTTGGGAGCCCATCATCGTGCTACTCCGTTTTTGTTCGAAGCCCTGGTGCTTCCTCAGCCGTGGCATGCTGATGCGTTCTCCGCGGTGGCGTGTCACTGATACTGCTTCTGCTCCCCAGGCCCGAGCTTCTGGGCTCGGCGGATCCCGCTCCCGTGGTCTGACGCCAGACATGGGGCGAGCGCCCGCACACACATTGGTTCGGCCGTCGTCGGCCAGGGCCGACTGCGGAAGGTCAGGGTCGCGCGGGGGGGGGAAGGGTGCTGTTGGATTGTTGGGACAATCCAGCCGTTCATTCAGAGCATGCGCCTAGAACGAAGCGCAGTTGCCTGCGGCAAGTCCCGCCACTGTGCCAGCCCAGCACTCTGGGTGGCGACTGTTCGAGGGGGCACGAGAGGCCGTCACGTGTGACACCTTTTGTGTCCGGGCATGGGAGAGCCGTTCGTAGTGAGGATGTTGAGGATGATGGTGACGACGACGATGGTGATGACGGTGACGAGGATGAGGATGATGTTGATGAGGACGAGGATGATGATGAGGATGATGATGATGATGATGATGCGAACGCTGATGATGATGCCGATGCCGAGGCTGTGGCTGATGATAATGACGACAGTGTTGATGATGATGATGATGATGATGATGATGATGATGATGATGATGATGATGATGATGATGATGATGATTGGTGACGACGTTGCCAATAACGACGATGATGAAGCTGTTGATGACGATGATGATGGCGATGCTGCTGCTCATGATGCTGATGATGATGATTGGTGATGATTGGCGATGGTGATAACGATGACGATGATCATGATGATGCTGATGCTGATGCTGCTGATGATGATGCTGTTGATGGTGACTGGTGATGATGATGCTGATGATGAGGATGCGGATGAGGATGCTGATGATGAGGATGATGATGACGATGATGCTGATGATGATGATGAGGAGGAGGATGATGATGATGATAAGGAGGAGGAGGAAGAGGATGTTGGTGGTGGCGATGATGATGATGATGATGATGATGATGATGATGATGATGATGACGATGATGATGATGATGATGATGATGATGATGATGATGATGATGATGATGATGACGATGCACATGATGCTTATGATGATTATGCTGATGTCCTACGCGCGCCCGAGAGATGTTAGGAATCTGGCGGGGGCGAGGACACCTACAGTCATGTGCCATGTGTATCGCTGAATGCAGCTACTGAACGACGGGCACGGCTTGGCCGCGATGATGCCGTCGCAGGCTCCTGTTGCGAGTACGTGTGTCCGCTTGGGCTGAGGCACCCATGTTCCGTGGCGCGCCTGCGTGCGGACAGGAGTTTCTGGCTACACATGGCGCGGGCGGAGCGCATCTACAAGTTCTCGACTAAGTCGGAGGACGTGACCAAAGAGGAGCCGGGGCAGGACAACGAGGAGTGCGATTCATTCCACAAGTTTCCGTCCAGCGACACGGAGCTGCTGAGTTACCACAAGGCGAAGTCTGGGGACGATGGTTTTCGACGGCTTCGAGGGCGTGGAGTCGTTGAAGGGCTTGGAGAGGAAGGCGGGCCCTATCGATGACGCTGGCGGCACCAGGCGGCAGGAGATCACACAGGTCAGTGAGGATAAGGGGCTGCACGAGGAGGGGAAACTCAATAAGGACACGCTCCGCTGACATGATGGCCTGCGGACGAGGACAGCGAGGGGCACCACCATGGTGATGATTTTCACGGAGGCGTGGAGGTCGACGATCTCCAAGATGACATTAGAGGCGTTGCTAATGCTCGCGTTGAGGCTGGAACAGCTGAAGGAGGATACGGAGCTGCGGACCTTCGGGAAGCCGCGGACGCTCATGGGACCGACCTTCGTGGTGAGTTGGATGCCGATCTGCAGAATGACGGTCGAGGAGCAGTTGATTCTGACGTTCGTGCGGGAGCCGCGGACGGTTGCGCCGGGTCGACGTTTGAGGACGGGATGGAGTTCCACGGCACCGAGGGCAGCGAGACCAGCGAAGGGCACCACCATGGTGTTGATTTTCGTGATGGTCTGGAGGTCGAGGTCCTTCAAGCTGCTGTTCGCGCTGAGGCTGGTGCAGCTGACGGACGGGACGGAGCTGCGGACCTTCGAGAAGCCGCGGACGTTCGTGGAACCGATATTCGAGAATGGTTGGATGCAGATTATTTTCGGGATGAAGTTCCAGAAGCAATTAATGCTGGTATTCGAGCCGGAGCCGACGTCGGCGGTGCGGGCATTAAGAGGGCCGTTGCCGACTTCGTGTTCGACCTCCTGCAGGAACGGATGAGGGCAGGTATGTTGTCTCGCGGGATTGGCTCGTGGACGCTCTGGCGGGCCATGTCGACGTTGTGGTGGATCTGTGGGCGGCGTTGCACATCTTCTCTTTCGACGAGGACGGACAAGTCCTCGCCATGCATACGGCGTCGGGTTCGATCGCGGCAGGACGGTTCCCTGAAGCGAGCTCTGAAGGCTCACAGGATGATTGCTCTGAAGCGAGCTCTGAAGGCTCTTAAATCTTTGACTAGAAGTTTGCCAAATGCACCCTACTGGGGCGACCGCGACGGTCCTCCGACGAGGGGCCTGGCTGCGCGCTTTCTCGGCGGGCCATCCTTGCTGGGGCAGCGCGGGCATTGCGCCTGGGAGGACATGCGGTCTCGGTACGTGTTTCCCATTTCGCACCCGCGATACGCAGATACCAAGGCTCACGTGTGCTGCGTGCAATGCGCGTCCGATTCAGGCGCCGTGCTGTTGCTGTGTGTAGAGACCGCCACCTTGGAGCCGTTCGATGACGATGATGATGATGATGATGATGATGATGATGATGATGATGATGATGATGATGATGATGCGGATGCTGATGCTGATGATGATGATGATGATGATGATGACGGTGGTGGTGGTGGTGGTGGTGATGGTGGTGATGATTATGATGGCGTTGATGATGATGATCATGGTGATGATTGTGATGGTGACGACGACGACGACGACGGCGGTGACGGAAACGTCGACGACGACGATGATGATTATGTTGGTGATGATGATGATGATGATGATGATGATGATGATGATGATGATGATGATGGTGATGATGATAATGATGATGATGATGATGATGATGATGATAATGATGATGATGATGATGATGATGATGATGATGATGATGATGATGATGATGATGATGATGATGATGACGGTGGTGGTGGTGACGCGATGCTGATCGTGAATATGATGGGGATGACAACTAGGATGGTGCTCATGAGTAAGATGAAGAAGGTGATGCTGATGATGGGGATCGGTCCCTTTTCCTTCCCCTCCCCTGTTCGCTCTCTTCTCTTTGGTATCTCTTTTCCATGTCCTTCACGCCTTGTTGTTTCTCTCCTTCTCTCGTTCTTCCCCTTCTCTTGTTTGTCAGAGTGAGGGGGCCGAACGGTCATTCATTGTCCCTGGGTGCGTGGCTGAACAAGGAATTCTTGGTGCGAATTATGTTTGTTGCGTTCTTGTCGTTGTTGTTGTTTGTTGTCGTCGTCCCACCCGCGACCCACCCCGCGACCCACCCCGCGCCCCGCTACCCACCCCGCGACCCACTCCGCGCCCCGCGAAACACCCCGCGACCCACCCCGCGACCCACCTGCGACCTACCCGCGACCCACCCGCGCGACCCACCCGCGACCCACCCCGCGACCCATCCGCGACCCATCCGCGACCCACTCGCGACCCACCCCGCGACCCTCCCCGCGACCCACCCTGCGAGCCACCCCGCGACCCACCCTGCGACCAACCTGCGACCCACCCCGCGACCCACCCGCGACCCACCCGCGACCCACCCGCGACCCGCGACCCACCCGCGCGACCCATCCGCGACCATCCGCGACCCACTCGCGACCCACCCCGCGACCCACCCCGCGACCCACCCGCGACCCACCCGCGCGACCCAGCCGCGACCCACCCCGCGACCCACCCGCGACCTACCCGCGACCCACCCTCAAGTGAGGAAAAACTACCCGGACCCGACAATTGACGTTTACGAAAACGGCCCTGGTTGTTGACTAAACAGCTCTGCCCTCTTCGATTCAATTTTTGTGTGCGTTTACTAAACGGCTTCGCTTGCCAGGGTGATTATTATGGGGTGGATTTTCTGCCCCCCACACCCGCGACCCAACAGCGACCCACCCGCGACCTACCCACATTGGTTTAACGAAAAAATCGGCGCCTGCGGCGGGCTCGTTCTCACCGCCGTCGTCCCCACCGCCCCTTCACTCTTTTCTCATCTGCGGGGTGCTACGTTTCTTTTCCGTATTTCCACTTTCTGTTCGCATTTCGTGTTTTTTTTTTTTTTTTTTTTTTTTTTTTCTCTCTCTCTCTCTCTCTCCTCTCCCTTCCTTCCCCTCGTTCCTCGCTCGATGGACCGCGAGGCTCTGCGAATCGCCGCCTGTCCGAGAGGCTCTGGCGGCCAGCCGATCGCGTGGTCGCCGTGAAGCCGAGAGGTTCCGAGACCCGCCGCTGGGCCATCGGGCTGTTTTGAGGGCTTCACAGATGTTTCCACGGAAGGCCATCATTGGGTCCTCTTGTGCGGTTTTGGGGCCATCGTGGGAGCTGATTGGGCCGCCTTCAACTGACGGCAGCCCGAAGAGGCGAGGATGCGAACATCGGGCAAAAAGCACAGGGAAATCACTGATTCTGTTTTTTCAAATTTTGTTTGGGGTCCTCTTGTGGTGCTTGTGGGCTCTCTTGGGTGCATGTTGGGCCGTCTTGAAGGCTTGGGAGCGCGGGAAGCACACGATTCTCGAGCGGGCGCGCATGGAATGAGGTTCAGGCGTTAGCTGCCACGCGGGAAGTGCAACGTCCTCGAGTGGGCACGCGTGGAATGGGGGTTTCGGCATGTGCTGCCACGCTGGAAGTGCACCACCCTCGAGCGGGCACGAAGGACGAGGCCTCGGAAAGTAGGGGCGGTTCGCGCAGCAGTCCGCTGGTAGAGGGAGGGTGGGGGGTCCCTCATTTGAATATTCAAAACCCTAGCAAGCCGACCTCGGCATTCTTCCGCGCCTCAGCGTGCCAATGGTCGCGGTGGCCGGTTAGCAGTTGCCGGAGAGAGGAGGGGAAGGGGGTGGGAGAGTGGGGGGGTCCGACCCTCAAGGGGCCGGCGCACTTTCGAGCGGCGTGGGCCTTGCAGGTCTCTGCGAAACAATGCCGTCCATCTCCGAGGTCTTACCAGAATCGTCTTTGCACTGATCTCCGGTTTCGTCTTTCTGGGAGGGGGCGGGGGATGGCGGGAATAGGGGAACACACGCTGACATAAACATAAAAATTCAAGGGTCCGCCTGGATTCCGCGGATCGGCGCTGGGGCCTCCTGGCGCCTCCAGCGCCGTCCCTGGCGCGCTCCGCGCGCCAGGGAAGGGTGTCCAGCGCTTGTGTCATTCCGTGCTCCCTTAGGACACGGGGGAGGACGGCCGCCGGGGGCCGCGCGTGGTGTGGGCCACCCCCGAAGGTGGGCGTGTCGGCGACCCTGGCTCCGACTGGCGAGCGCACGGGCGGCGAGCGGAGGCAGGGGGTGGAGGAGATTGGGGAGGAGGGGTAAATTGGGGAGACCGTCTGGGGGAGGGGTAGGGGAGACGAGATGGAGGGAGCGGCGAGAAGGCTGGTGAGGGCAGGGTGCAGGGCGAGGATCGAAGAAGGAGAAGCGGCATAAATGTACACTTTCTGAGCTCCTCGCGGATCTCCTCTTTCTCCTTCTCGCCCCCCCCAGAGAGTGGGCCCGCGCGTGCCGGGCACCTGCCCCACTGCCAAAGCGCCACACCGGGACCGAGGAGGAAGCGGTGGAAGGACGGTGTGGGGATGATGATGATGATGATGATGATGATGATGATGATGATGATGATGATGATGATGATGATGATGATGATGATGATGATGATGATGATGATGATGTTGATGATGATGATGATGATGATGATTGATGATTGATGATGATTGAATGATGATGATGATTGATGATGATGATGATGATGGTTGATGATTGATGATTGATGATTGATGATTGATGATGATGATGATGATGATGATGATGATGATGATGATGATGATGATGATGATGATGATGATGCTGATGCTGATGCTGCTGATGCTGATGCTGATGCTGATGCTGATGCTGATGTTGATGCTGATGCTGATGATGATGATGATGATGATGATGATGATGAGGGTGGTGGTGGAGGTGATGATGCTGATGATGATGACGATGATGATGATGATGATGATTATGATGATGATGATGATGATGATGATGCTGACGATGACGATGACGATGATGAAGCTGCTGATGATGATGCTGATGTTGATGATGATGCTGATGATGATGCTGATGCTGATGATGATAATGACAACGATGATGATGATGATGGTGATGATGATGATGATGACGATGATGATGATGATGGTGGTGATGATGATGATGCTGATGCTGATGCTGATGATGAGGAGGAGGAGGAGGTTGATGATGATGATGATGATGATGATGGTGGGTGGGATGATGGTGAAGAGGAGGAGGAAGAGGAGGAGGAGGAAGCAGAAAAGGAGTTCTATGAGGAGTGTGAAGGAGGGGGAAGCATGACAATGATGATGATGATGCTGATGAGGATGAGGATGAAGATGATGATGAGCAGGAGGATGATGATGATGATGGTGGGTGTGATGATGGTTAAGAGGAGAAGGAAGAGGAGGAGGAGGGGGAAGCATAATAGGAGTTCTATGAGGAGTGTGAAGGAGAGGGAAGCATGACAATGACAGCCAGAGCGGGAATCGAAGAGGGAGGATGCGGAGGAATAGGACGAGGAGGACCAGCAACATGCGTAGAAGGTAAGGCCATGATGGTGGTGATGGTAATGGTGGTGGTGGTGATTGCGATACGTAGGGGGAGTTGTTGATGGTGGTGGTGGTGGTCATGATGATGATGGTGGTGGCGGTGGTGGTGATGGTGATGGTGATGGTGATGGTGATGGTGTGCGACGATAGTTGTGATAGTGGTGTCGATGACGATGCCGACAGTGCCACTGATGACGAAGATGAGGATGATGCAGATGCGGATGATGGTGATGACGTTGATGATGATGCCAATGATGCCGACTCTTGTTTGCCATGATGATGCGGATGCGGTTGGTGATGAATGCTGTCATGCTGTGCGGGGAAAAGTAATGGGCTGTTGTTGATGATGCTGATGATGGTGGTGGTGGTGGTGGCGGTGGTGGTGGGGGTGCCGTTGAAGATGTTGCTGGTGGCGTAGATGAAGATGCCGACGACGACGAATACGACTTTGCTAACTACGACGACGACGACGGTGGTTAAGAGGAAGATGACGCTATTGTTGTTGATGATGATTGTGATGTTGATGACGCCCGCTCAGCGCAGCACGTGCGAAGCACAGCGCCCGCTTACATGATGGTGAGGATGGTGATCATGTTGCTGCTGAGGGTGATGACGATGATGATGGTGATGACGAGGGTGACGGTGATGATCATGCTGATGCTGGTGATGATGATGTTGATGAGGATGATGATGATGATGATGATGATGATGATGATGATGATGATGATGATGATGGTGGTGATGGTGGTGATGGTGATGGTGACGTTGATGGTGATGGTGACGACAACGACGACGACGACGACGACGACGACGACGACGACGGCGCTGCTGCTGCTGATGATGGTTCTGGCGATGGCGATGGTGATGGTGATGGTGATGATGATGACGATAATGATGATGATGGTGATGATGATGCTGATGATGATGATGATGATGATGCTGATGATTGTGATGGTGATGCTCATCGGATTGAGCGTGAGGACGAATATTGCGATGCGGATGGTTGATGAGTACTCGTAGGGGAAGGGAGTGTATCATGTAGGGCGCATAATGACGAGGAGGTGTATGATCATGGCGAGGAGGGCTGACGGCCTTTGTAACGCCTCCTGGGTGGGAAGGCGGGCGCCTGGGGTCCGATACTATCGCTTCTTCGGTCTGAGGGGCCCCGCGACCAAGGCGACGCCTCCACGAGGTGTTTGCTATTCGGCGCGCTATCGCCCATAGAGAGAGAGAGAGAGAGAGAGCCGAATGAACAATCATCTCAGACGTGGAGTTCCGCGGTGGTCGGCACTCTCTCAGACTGGACCGCCCGGCGGTGGGGGGGTCGAGGGTGAGGCGGAGGAGGAGATGGAGGCGCAAGGAAGAGCGAAGAGGAGGAAAACGAGGACGTGTGATATTTGGTACCAATCGAACACGACAGTAAAAGACTCACCTTACCCAGGGACTCGCCCACGCTACGTCAGCTCAATCACGAGGGCATCAGACGCGTTGCACGTGAAGGCCATGCACTTTCCCACAGACCCTGCACGCCACGGGATGGGAAAGAGGGGGGACGAGGGGAATAGTTGGAGGAGGAGGAGGAGGAGGAGTGGGCGGCTGGGCTCCCTGGTTCCAGGTTCCAGGTTCTTGGGTTCCCAGTTCCGGGACGATTTCGGTGGGTGGTTGGGTTATCGGCTCTTGGTTCCAGGGTTCCCAGGAGTGTCAGGTCGGCTGGCTTCGTGGGTTCCCAGTTCTAGGGTTCCTGGAAGTGAAAGGTTGATTGGATTCCCGGTTCCTCCTCCGGGGGATCACAGCAGTATAAAGTTGGTTGGGTTCCCGGGTTCCTGGTTCGGTGGACGGCTGGGTTCACGGGCTTCTCGTTCCCGATTCCAGGGTCCTTGGCAGTATAAGGTTTGGTGCATGTCTCGCTTCCCGATTACCGTCTCTGGATTCCTGGCAGCGCAAGGTTTTGGGGTCCTGGATGTCTTAATCGTGGCCAAGTGCTTGGGTCTTTGTCTTTTGACTGTGAAGAGTATATATCTAGACCTTCTAGATGGGGTCGGAGTAGATGGGATCGGAGGATCGCGCCGCATCGCCGATGCATCGCCGATGCGGCTCGATGTGGAGCCCGGTCTCCGTCACGTCGACGTTGCCGATCCATCGCCCACGTCGACGATGCGTTGCCGGCGCATCGCCGGTACATCGCCGATGCATCGTCGATGTATTGGCGATGCGGCGCGATCCTTCGACCCCATCGACTCCGACCCCATCTAGGAGGCCTCTAATATAGGTGTCAGAGAGATGCGAGCAGAGTTGATCAGAGAGATTGGAGAGAGGGAGAGAGCATTTGCGAATTATCTCAGATATAAGATCGAAGGATGGATGGGCAGGTCAGAGCGAGAGGGTATATGGCACATCTACAGTACATATCCTAACATAGGGCGAAGTTAGGTATATATATATATAGAGAAATAAGGGAGATAGAGAGAGAGAGACATGATGAAACACTGAGATAGACATGCAGCACCACATGGTTGATATATATATATATATATGTATATATACATGTATACAAGTTGTGAACACAAATGTATGTGCATATGCAAATGAATATTTAAACGTAGCTGTCTAGGTAGGTGTCCATGTAGATGTAGATGTAGGTGCATATGTAGATGTGGATGTGTATACTTAGGTATCTTCTCATATAGTTGAGAATCGATGTGTGACCACAGAGAGCAGGACGAGGTGCGTAGGCAAATCAAGTAAGCAAACCATGCCGGCAACAGAGAGAAACACAGAGAGAGTGTGAGAGAGAGAGAGAGATAGAGAGTGAGAGAGTGAGAGGGGAGGGGTGTAGTGCATGCGGCAGTGCAACGATATCCACTGATCAGTTTCTTGTCTGGTGTTATTTCAATGGCGTTGCAACGTGTATTGCAAATTTGATGCCGCTGTACTGTGGAGGAGGAGAAGAATGAGACGGTGGAGGAGGAAGAGGAGGGCGGAGGGAGGAGGTAGAGCTACTTGTACATCCAGAAGCGGAGGGAGGAGGAGGAGGAGGAGGAGGAGGAGGAGGAGGAGGAGGAGGAGGAGGAGGAGGAGGAGGAGGAGGAGGAGGAGGAGGTAGGAGGGGGGCGGAAGGAGGTGAAGAGGATGAGGAGGTCGAGGAGGCAAGGAGGGCGGAGAAGAGGAGGGATCGGAAACCTGGTCTGTCGGCCCCGTCCCACAGGATCAACCCAGATTTGGCTCCGACGCCGCAGAAGCGCGACTTCTGCCGACAGGCGGCTTCCTGCTTTGGTGTGGGTGGGTTTTTGATTTTTGGAGGGTCGAGGGAAGAAACACAATGATTATGACCAGGATGTCATGGGATCTTGTGAACGACGATCTTCGGCATGGTCCTTGCCATCCGTCGCTGATTTGTGTGGATGATCCACGCATTGGCGATGACCAAGATGGGCGATGACCAAGATCGGCATGGACGTTTCCGCGTTCAGTCTTGATCATGGCTATCGTTTTCTCTCCCTCCAGTTGGAGGGGACGAGGAAAAGCGATCGATGTATATATAGAGAGAGAGAGGGAGACAAAACAAACAACTATAAAGAACGACAGAGAGAAGGAAAGTAGCTCGCAGCTCTGCTTCCGTTCCCTCCCTTCACATCCCGTAACTCCTTCTTCCCCTCCCCCCTCCTCCAGGAAGGGGTTGGTTCGGGTCGGCTCGGGTGGGTTCAACCGCGGGCTGGTTCGGTTTCGGCGGCGGGCTGGTTTTCAAGGTTTCGGTATGATCGTTCGGGCCAGTTCGGCCGGCTCGGTTTGGCGGCCACGGAGCGGTCCGGTTTTGGTCGGGCGGGTTCGTCATCGGCCAGATGGATGCCGTTGTTGTGGACAGCGACTTGAACGGCGCGAGGTGCTTCGCCGCTGCTGTCACTGCCGCTGCTGAGCCCAGGCGGAATAGTAGGAGGAGGACGACGAGGGGCAGGAGGAGTAATATGAGCAGGGTTGATAACCCTGTGCCTATTCCTCTCCAGCGGCAGCAACCCTGGGTTGCTGCCGCTGGAGGGGATCGAGGTTTCAGGTTTCATGTTCTGTTTGCAGTTCCTGGGCCTCCGAGATTGCGAAGGCCTTACGGCCGGTGCCGCCGACCCTGTTCGCAATGCGCAGCAAGAGGCACGGGCTGTGGGATGGTTTTGGGGAACGGGGAGAAGGACGAGAAAGTGGGGGAGGGAGGTGTCGTATCTGACCCGGGACTTCCCCGGGACTCCCCTGGGACATCGTATCTGACCCGGGACCCCCCCCGGGACCCCCCCTCCCCTTCCCGTCGGGGAAGGGAAAGGGAAGGGGCTTCCCTTCGACTCAATTACGACGTTGCTCAAGGTCGGTACGGGGGGGGGCGTCGTATCTGACCCGGGGGGGGGGTCGCTACCCCCCCCGCTACCCCCCCCCCCTCCCGGCGGGGGAGGGATCAAAGGGAAGGGGCTTCCCTTCGACTCAATTACGACGTTGCTCAAGGTCGGTACGGGGGGGGGGCGTCGTATCTGACCCGGGGGGGGGTCGCTACCCGCTACCCCCCCCTCCCCCTCCCGGCGGGGGAGGGATCAAAGGGAAGGGGCTTCCCTTCGACTCAATTACGACGTTGCTCAAGGTCGGTACGGGGGGGGGGCGTCGTATCTGACCCGGGGGGGGGTCGCTACCCCCCCCCCTCCCGGCGGGGGAGGGATCAAAGGGAAGGGGCTTCCCTTCGACTCAATTACGACGTTGCTCAAGGTCGGCTTGGCTGGAGCCCAGGGGAAGAGGAGTCCCAGGGAAAGGGAAGGACAGAGACGACGAGTACAAAGAATAACGGAGATGACGGCTCGAACGGAAAAGCCCCTCACACACGCCGACAGGGTCGGCGGATTTCCAGGAACGCCAGGAGGCCTCAGGAGCTTCATGCGCCCAGAGGCTTCTGGCATGCACGGGAAAACCCATGACTAATGAGCTCCTTACTCCACGTCGCTTCTCTTTCCATGACCCCCCAGGACTCCCTGCAGGACCTGGCAGGACCCCCCAGGACGTCCCAGGATCTCGCAGGACCTCCCCGGACCTCCCGGGAGCCTCGGGCTTTCTCTCGTCGGGCCTCGTCGGGTTTCGTCGGGCTTCGTCGGGCCTCGTCGGGCCTCGTCGGACTCCACCAAGACTTCGTCGGGTCTCGTCGGGCCTCGCAGGACTCCGTCGGACTGCCCGTCGGACCGCCTTGCAGGACTCCCGTCCCATCGGACCCCCCAGGACCCCCCAGGACGCCCCAGGACTCCGGAGGCCCCCCCCCGAACTCCCAGGACCTCCCAAGTTCTCCCAGGACACTCCAAGGAACCCCCAGGGCCTTCTGGGGCCGTCTCGGTTCCAACCAGTTCGGTTTGCCCCTTTCAGCCAGTTTCGGCTTACTGGTTCTGTTCGAATCGGCCGTTCCCGTTCCGACTGGTTCAGTTCGGTCTGCGGTTCGACCCGCTCGGTGGGAGAAGTTGCTTGTTCAGTCTTACCAGTTCGGTTCGGTTCAGACCCACCATGCTCCTCTGTAGGTTGTGTCCCCCTTTGCGTTTCTACATTTTACCGTCCTTCTCCTGCCCTGAGTCCTCCTCCCCGCTCCTCCCTCTGTCGCCCTCCCTTCCTCAATCGCCCTCCTTACCTCCCCCCCCTTCTGGCCTGTTGTTTTTCGGGCGGTGGCGAATGTGGTCGCGCTCCACAACGCCCTCGCCCCCTTCGCCCCCCCCACCCTCGAGGGGGAGGAGGCTGGGCCTCGAGCCTCGAGGGCCCTGGGAAAGGGGCCCCTCCTCCCTCCCTCTCCTCGATGGGGGCGGGAGGATGTGCCTCCGAGGGCTCGAGGTCACAGAGGCCCTTCTCTCTCTCGCATCGAGGGCGATGGGAATCAGGCCTTAGGGATGGATGAGGGAGGAGGGCCTTGGTAGGGGCGTCGAGGGCGATGTGAAGGCCCTGGCAGTGTGGGTGTGTGTGGGGGGGGGGGGGGCGGTGCTCTGCATCGGGGGGCCTCCCGTCCTTCCCGCCCCAGCCCAGCCTATCCCGCCGGCTCGCCCTTCCCGGCCCGGCCCGGCCCAGCCCACCCCGCCCCAACTGCAGCCCCAGCGGCCCCAGCCCCCCGCCCCTCCCGCCGGCCGGCCGTCTCGCCGCCCAGTCGGCTCGCCGGGCCCTCCCGGGCCGGCGCCATGCGCGCCACCGCCCCTCCCGCCAGCCAGCCACGAGCGGTGGCGGCTGGCGCCGCCGGCCGGCCGCCCTGCGCCGCGCACGGCGCCGCGCACGGCGCCGCGCACGGCGCCGCGCGCGCCGGCGGCCTCGCTCGGCGGCCCACGCCGCTGGCGGGCTCGCTGGCGCCGCCGTGGGTGCGCTGGCGGCGCGGCGGCGCGGCGCCCGCGCCGGGGGAACGCCGCGCGCGGGGGCGCCCGCGGCGGTCGGGGCGGAGGAAAGTCAGGGGCAACGTCGGGGTCGATGATCCTCAGGACGTGTGCTAGGCGTGTGCTTACCCCGTTGGGCTCCGCCGTTGGCGCGCAGCCTGCGTCGGCCCCCGTTGCGCCGCCTGCGTCTTGTTGAAACGCCTCGGTGGGCAAGCACACGTTAGCGCTAGCCCACGTTCTGAAGATCATCGAAGGGGGCAACGTGCGGATGGGGGAACCGTAAGACTCGAGTTCCCAATAACTCGGCGCCTTTGGACGAGCCCGTCCTGGATTTAGACGGTCCAGTTTTCTTGGGATGTTTGCAGCGGGAGGTCGCGTCACATTTCAGATTGTGTCTCGCCATTGTGTCGCAGGTCTCCCGATAGGGGGTACGTGGATCAAGCGAGACTGACGCGATGCAACGGTCTTTTTCTCACGACTTGCTGTCCGCAGGCCGCGCCAGGGCGTACGGGTGAGTGCCCAGTCTGGAGCGGTCTCACCCTATAGGATTCTCCTCCGGTTCAGGCTCGAGCTGGAAGAGAAGGGGAGTGCAAAAAGGCACAGGGGGGGGTCACGCTCACGCTCAGGGGGGGGGGCGTCGATCTTTGTTTTAAAGGCTTCGTTTGTGTTCGAGAGTTTTCGAGACCCAGGGTGGTTTCCATCAGCCGCGCCTCATCAAGAGTGCTCTAGGGGGGCCAGAGTCGTCCCGCCAGAGAGCTGAGTTATGACCCGAGTGCCATGGGGGCTACGGAAGGGAGGATGAGCTCAGTAGGGGGGATGCATCGAGCCCCAATCGCCCATCCATCGCAGGGGCCCGTACCCCACCCCGCCCAAACGTGCGGTTTCGCTATCGGGTGGCTGTCCTCGATCTATCGCCGATTCCAGGTCGATGTCTCCCCCCCTGAGCCGGTCCCCTCCCTCACGTTTCCCCTCGAGGGGGGGATAGTACTCACGTAGAGATTGTTTGTTATCGTCTGGCGCGTAGCGGTCGTTACCTGGGCCAACCACCCTCGTTCCCGCCCCCTTGTCCCGGGTAACGGTATCGATCGTAGGGGCCGGGCCGGACCCCTCCCCCCCATTTGGTGCTCGCGCGCGTAGTCTAGCAATCGCAGCGCACCCCCGCCCCGACGTGGCCCACCCCGCCCAGGCGTCACCGTCATTTGGGGCCCCAACCCCTCCCCCCCACCCTCGGGCAACGACCGCTGTTGCCCGAAATGATGACAATCTCGTAGCTGATTGATTCTGCGCCTCCCTGCGCCGGAGGCGCAAATGTATCGAGGAGGGCGCCCGGCGGTAGGGCCGAAGCCAGCTGCATGCCGTCGGGGCGCCTCGGGGCGCGGCGGGCGGGGGCGGCTGATATGCAGGTATGGTGACTGCCGGGGGGGGGAGGGAGGGATATCATGGCCGGGGTCATGGCATCTCTCCAGATTGCATGGCTCTTCGCACCTCAGCACGTCCCCGGGCTCCCCCCTCGTCCACGCGCGTGCTTCGGACTTGAAGCCAGCTGGGTGCCTGAGGTGGCCCGGGATTGGTCTTCGGCAGGATTCGATCTGGGGCGAGAAGCTGACCTGGATGGGCCCCAGGAGGGGTCCAGGGACCGATTCTGAGCAGATCTGCGAGCCCCCCCTCCTCTCAGGCACTGCCAAGGGCCCGCCACTGGGGGCGTCGCCACTTCCTCGAGGAAACACCAACGCCATCTCCTCAAGGAAGTGGGCCTCCCAGAGCACTCCAGAGCCCTCCCAAACAACCCCAAACGTCCTAAGACCTCATTGAGCTTCGATCCTGGCACCTCGATCCTCAGGAACTGGTGACCCCTCGGGGCAGCAGCTACACTCGGCCAAGACAAAAACGGCCAGGCTGAACTCGGCCAAGCTGACGTCGGCCTGGGCCAAGTTCAGCCTGGGCCGAGTTCAGCCCTGTCCCCAGTGGGTGGCCCCACTTGGCATTGCCTGGCGCTTGGACGCCCCCGAGGCGGCGCCCGCGGCGGGCGTCGCGCCGTCGCGGACCGAGCGGCTCCTGGGCACTCTGCCGGCGACCCAGGACGCCGCGGGTGGCGCGGGCGGCAGCGGCTCGTACGCGGGGCTGCGGGGGTTCTCGGGGGCGTCGTCTGTCAGCGGACGATTTGTGTGCAGCGTGCCGCCTTGGCGTCTCCCAGTGGCGCCGTCGATCCTCGACCCAGGAATTCTCGATCCTCAGAGCCGAACAACTATGCGGCGTACCGCGTCGGAGCGGGGCCTTAACGGAGTCCAGAGATGGTGCGGTGCATGGGCGCCGTTCTCGTTGTTTCAGGGTCATGGACTCAGGGGATGCGAGGTGGGAGGTTTTCAGGATTTGTCGTCGGTTCTCGAAGGCTTTCCAGCCTCGGGATGCTTTTTCTGGCGGCTTCGCCTCGTTGAAAGCGTTCTGGGGGTCCCGAACGGGCGCCAGAGGCCCAAGTTATGGCCCGAAAGCCACCAGGGACGGGATGGGCTCAGGGGGAGATGCATCGACCCCGAGACGCCCACTCATCGCCCGCCGATGGGGGCTTGATGGCCCAACCAGCCCAGGGGTGTGCGGTTTCGCTATCGGGAGCTTGTCGCCGATTTATCGGCTTCGTATCGAGGGTTCAGGCTCGATGTTCCCCCCCCCCCCCCCCCCGAGGTGACCCCCACTCTCCTTCCCTATCGTTCCCCCTCAGGCTTGACCGCGCGTGGGGGAGTCTGCGCCGCGAGGGGCTGCCAGCTGTGGCCGACTTTGTCACCACCAGCGGGGAGCCACAGGAAGAGTTGTGCTTCAGCGCCCCACCCCATCATCCGAGCCCCTCTTTCGGTGGCGCGCCGAGGGGGGAAGTGAGAGGGGGCATGCAGGCTGCCGGGCTTCTCAGAGGCCTTCTCTAAGCCCCTCGGAGAAGCTCCTTTGATGGCTTCGAAGCAGGCTTGGAAAGCTTCTCAGAAGGCCACAGAGTCCCTCCGAGCCTTCTGAGCCTTGGGCCGTCCCTGGGCGCGCCGCCGACTCTTGCCCTGCCTGTCCCTGATTCATCGCTTTTGCCCCTCCTGGGCCTCTCCTCTCTCTTGAGGCCTCCCTTCCTCTCCCCCCTCCCCGTTCACTCCGCTCGGGGCCGGCCGAAGCAGATTAGGACTCTCCTGGAGCTTTCCTGGGCCGCTTTTGGGCCCTCCTCCTTGGCTCTGGAGGCTCTGTTTGGGCCCCCTGGTGGACAGTGGGAGGCCATCTTGGGACTACTTCAGGCCTTGTGATATCCTTCGGGTCCCTGGCGAGACGGGGAAAACCGTGAAGTTCCGCATAAAGTATTGCGGGGTGCCAGGTTTTGCGATGGCCTTAGCCATATGGGGGCCACCGTGGAGTCTTCCCAACAACAGTTAATGTGTATTGCCAGGACTCGAGTACGGCCCTGGCAGCGACGGAAGCGGGGGCCAGACGATTTGACCGGCGCTTAGCTTGATATACTATGATTTCCTCTTTTGTAATATTAGGGTTCTTGGGTGGTATGTAAAATGCAGGCAAACCTAGGACGTGACTAGGACCGGGAGAAATCGTCCCAGAGCGTTCTGGAAAGTTTTCGTACCGTTCTAAAGCAGTGGAACGGGAGCGGGGCCCGATACACCCTCCAGAACCGTTAGATCTCAGAGATCCCCGAATTGTGCCCGTCCGATTTTGTCCCGGTGCTTGCATCGTCTCAACACTCTTCCAGGGCTCCCTGGCAGCACTGACCCGGGAGGGGCTCCCGACTACGACGTGGTGGTCCTTGGCGGCACGCTGGGCATCTTCCTGGCCTCGGCGCTGCAGGCGGCCGGAAGGTCGGTCTGCGTCGTGGAGCGAGGCGCGGTGTGTGGCCGCGAGCAGGAGTGGAACATCAGCAGGGCGGAGCTGGAGGAGCTGGTCGAGGCTCTGAGGCAGCGTCATTGAATGTTCGTTTTGGGGGCCTTGCTATGGACCATCTAACATGTATGTTCGATTCTAGCTCGACTCGGTTCGACTCAGCTTCGACTCAAGTTTGAGTCATGCTCGACTCGAGTCGACGGACGTTTTACGTAGCATCGACGCATGAGTGGAGCGAGTGGCTTCAGGAAGATCCCCAGAACGAGCTTCTAAGCGCTAGCGGGAGGGGATGGTTTCTGTGGGGGCGGCATCGACCCCCAATCGCCCACAGATCGCAGACAGGGGCCCGATAGCCCCACCCCAACCCCGCCCAGGAGCGTGCGGTTGCACTATCGGGGGACTGTCGCCGACCTATCGGCGATATATGGTCTCTATTCCAGGTCGATGCTTCCCCTGAGCGGCCCCCTCCTAACGCTCTCGGGCGGGGCTAGGACGAGGACAATTCGTTCCGGAGCGTCCTGAAACGCTCTCAGAGCGTTTTGGAGCACTCTGGAACGGCCGCGGCGCCCAATGCATCCTCCATAACCGCCGGATCTCAGAGATCCCCGATAAATCCTGGCTGTGCTCGAGCTGAACAGTGTTTGGGCGATTTCGTGGATCGTTTTCGTTTTTATTCAAGACGCTTCGCGTTCACCGCCCGCCCACTTCAGCTCTCGCCGGACGAGGCGAAGACGGCTCCACGACGGCAAGAACATATGCAGAAAATCATCCAGACTCCCCGTAGGTGTGTTTTGTTGTTCCTGCCTGCGTTCCATTGTTGTTCCCAACCCAAATCCTGTTAATTAGGATCAGGCATGCCGCGTGGCTGATCGATAGTAGATTTGCTGTTTGGTCCTCGTCCCGCCATCGGCACCGACGGATCCATTACATGGACGTTGGCTCCCTGGGCCCTTGTCTACTATCCACACGAGGAGGCCAGAAACAACCCGAACACAACCTAAGATCAACCAACAACGGCCCGAACGCTGCCTAAAGAGAGCCAAGCAGGGACACATGCGGCTCAGGCGGGCGTTGAACGGCGAAAGCGTCAGCACATCCGTGTTGAGCCGTAATTGCGTCGGGATGCCATTGAACATCGGGTTGGTCTGGGGCCAGTTTGGGTTTTGTTTTGGGGCCCACGCGAAGCCCAAGAGCGTCCAACATTGATTCTGGATCGTGTCCACAAGCGACGTAGGTATGGGAGCAGGCGTATGTAGGTACACCACGAGTTGTAGGTCCCAGGTAAGTGGGTCGGGGTTCTGACGATGCATGCAGGCGCGTGGGTCGATGTTTGTCTTGGACGTTATGTTCCGCTTGGGCGTGAACTCAGGTATGGTGTGCGACGTCATTGGGGCTTCATGCCATGGCACTTGACACATTCCCCGAGATCTGGTGGCCTTCGTGCCTGGGTTGTGGGTTCCGAAGCCTCGTGAATGTTGCTCGGGGTTGTCTGGAATGCCTTGCGAAGGAATATGGATACTGTATGGTGTTTGCGGTGGTGCAATCGGTATGGCTCAAGAAGTATCGAAGTGGTAGCGTCTGCATCATGTGGATCCCTGCGGGCGTGGATCCTTGGTCGTAAGGAGGTATGTCGGATGCTTCGTGGCTGAAGTGGCATCCCAGTGGTATTGCTGAAGGCATATCGATCGAAGAGAGTGGGGCTGGAAGATGAGGAGGAGGAGCAGGAGGATGAGGGAGGTCGAATTCGGGCCCAATTCGGGCCCGGGCCCGATTCGGTCCTAGGCCCTGACCGTCTCAGGTACGCTGTTTGGCAAAACGCTCCGAGAGGATCCCACATTCTGTTTGAGGGTCTGCAGTGACTCTCAGGCTCGCATGGGCCGTTTGGCAGGTGCCAAGAGGGCTCCCAAGGACGATCCCCCTCGCGCCCTTCAGCTGGATGGCCTTGGGCGGTCCTGTTGGGTTGCGCCGGGCATAGCGTCGCCGCGCTGCGTCGGCGATGTCGCCCCCCCCCCCGGCAGCTTCAGCAATCGGTCTTTGGCCTCGGCGAGAATCTGGCCCCAAGCCTCAGGAGGCTCTAGGCGTTCCCGATTTTCGCGGGCCAGGGCGCCGCGGGCCTTCTTGAGCCCCCCCCCGCGCGAACCAGTCCGCCACGTCGTTGCGGCGCGTGCGCGCGCGCGGCGGCGACGGAGAATTCGGACTTCGCCTCCAGCCTTTCGACCAACCGAATGAGGTGCCGCGAAGACGGGTGTCTGGGGCGCCTCTTGGAGAGCCAGGAGCGCACGTTCATGTTGTCTGTCACGTAGTAGACGAGCTCTCCTCCTCAGCCGCCCCCTCGGGTCGCTGCCAGGGCCACGAAGGCCAGCAGCTCCACCACCGCGATGATCCACCGCTCCTCGGAGCTCGGCAAGGCGAGGACGCCCTCCAGCTGCCGCAGCAGGCCCTCCGCCTCCCCTCTTTACGCCAGGCTGAAGCTCAGCCAGCGCCAGCAGGTGGCCACCTTGGTGCACTTGGGTTCTGGGAGCATCACCTGCTGTTGGTTCGCGTCTAGGTGGAGTCCCCGCGCGAGCGGCGCCGGGGCAGAGGTGCCCTCCTCTCCGAGTTTGTCTGCATTGATGGCTGCGGCCCCCCAAGTGCGGACCGTGGCCCGGCGGTCTTCGGCCCCCGGAGACCAGGGGCGCAGACCCACCTTCGGCTCGAAAATGACGCCGTCGTCCATGAGTCACGTGGAGCTGTACCTCACGGTGTCGTTGACGCGCGGCAGGGAGATCCCCGCCTCGAGAAGACAGACCAGCAGCCCGCGATCGATCCGATCCACCAGCCGCGCACCATCAAGCCCGCGTCCGCTGTCGGCTGGAACCTGTGCACGCTCAAGGGATCGCCTGGCAGGGTCGACGACATCAGCGACACGTTTTGGCGCTGCCAGCTACCATGCTTGCGGGTGCAGAAATCCGACAGCCCGCGCCTGACGCGCCCCGCCATTCAGAATCCTCAGTGGCACATCATTGCATGCACTTCGGCTGGACACGCGGCGCTGCGTCAGCGCGTCGGCGGGCCGCGGCATCGGCCTCTCGAAGAAGTACTTCCGCAAGACGGGCGCATGCAAGATAATGCACCCGGGGCCCGATCTGCGCGGGCGAGCAGGACTGGTCGAAGCACATGGGGGCGAGCTGCGCATCAGGTGCATCACTGCTTACTTCGCTCCTAGACCCGCGGGCTGGCCGGCTAAGATGTGACCATGATAGGACGGCTGCATGCGATTTTGGACTTGGCTCATGAGGGCCACGGCCGAGTGTCCAGCCCGCGCCACCCCCATCATGTGCACAGACCAAAACAAGAGCCTGGGGGCGCAAGCCAAGAGGGTGGTAACCGACGCCGCCGTAGGCCCATGCCACACTGGCGACGAGAGCGAGCACGGCCGCCGCGTTCACAGCCATCAAATCTACCACGAGCCCTCGGCGCTCCACGCGCGCGCGGACGTCGGACGCACCCACTACGGCCCCCAGAAGTCCCGATTCCGCATCGACCACTCTGTCGGCCACCATAGCCTGCAGGAGGTCATTAACAGCATGATATTGGATTAAAAGGCACATCGACGAGTACGAGAATTGGAACACGCCCCCCGACCATGTCCCCATGCTACTGAGCATTCGGATGCCGACGAACACGACAAACCCATTGGAGGCACGATTGACATGGGATTCGGGGGGGCTCTTGCTTCAGCATTGCAAACAGGACGCAAACGTGAAGAGTTTCTCATTGACCTTGCGTCGGATATCGACAAATACCAGGACGCTCTTCGAGTGGCAAGGATGGGCCAGTTTCCAACGGCATGCAGCGGTGCTTACGTATTTGACTTGCACGACGGCAGCAACGCACTACTCTCGCACAGGCCTCAGACCACGCTGGCACAAACAGGCTCAAAAGGGACCGACTTCGACTCCTACGCAAGCGCGCCCAGGCATGCGAAAGTGGCCAGTCTTTCAACTCACTGCGGGCCCTTCAAAAATGAGTGAATCACTGGTGGCAAGTTGACCACGACAGCGGCATTCGACAAGCATGGGCATGTCGTGATCTATCTCGTTTTTCACATCAAACGCATCTCCGAGCTGGCCGTCGAGCGGGACCACGGAGGCGCCCATGTTATCCTGTCCCCCAGCGCGACTGCCGGCAAGCGAGTGCGAACAGGCATTGTCCGCAGATGCGACCGATGGTGGGATGACGGCGACCGAGACATGCGCAAGCATGTATTCTGACACCACATCGGTAGTCACGCGACTGTTGGCAAAGATGGACACAATTCAACCGATTGGTGATTGCGTCGGCGCTCCTACCATCGAGGACCTCGAGGAAGCCAGTGCGGAATTACAGGTGTTTCAGAAACGCCTGTGGCGCTAGAAGTGACGACGGCGCGGCCCGCCCTGGGCCTGGCCTATCTGATGCAGACATGATAGTTACGCAGAAGTTCCCCACTCGACCTGGGCCAGATCGCGCAGAAGTGCGGGCAGGGAACCATTTTCAAATACATCCGCTGGCGGACGAGCTTTCTCGACCTGATCGGCGGCAACCCCAAGTGGACGCACGCGCGCGCAACGAAGTGGCACTGGCATGCGCGGCGCTCCTCGGACATGTCCGGCGCGCCGCGGAGCTGCCAGCCCAAGCCTACACGAGCCGCGCCATTGCGACCGGCAAGAACGGCAGGGTCCCCACTGGACGCCCTGTAGAAGACATACTTCAGTCCGTACGGCTTCCTCATTGTTTTGATCATTTCTGGCGCCTCTATCTTCGAATCGGGTTGATTCAGTATGGATCCCCGCTCGATGCACCATCGCGGGCCTACGGTGGCACATGCTCCAGACGGCGCGAATCTCCGATGCTGATCTCGAAACTGTTGATCTGGAAGTTGGTGGCAGCCAACGTATCTGTTCTGGCCAAGAGCCACGACATGCGCAATGCCTTCGCCACGGGTGACGGGCCGCGCTTGGTCTGGCCGCATGCCCCCGCGAGGTGCACCGACTAGACTGCGCTTGCCACGTTTCAAGGGAGCTGCCCATCATGAGGACCCCGAA